TCTTTAGCTATTTATTATAAAATAAGTAATTAATAGAAAAATATATATCTTATATTTTATTACTTTAGTAAATTTCCTAGTATTTAAAACTTTAATCTTCTATAATTAAATCTAGTATCTCTATATTACTTCTCTAAAGGAAATCAGGGAATTAACCTAATAAAGCTATAAGAATCTAAATATTATATTAATATAATTCAAATTAAAATTATATAATATAAAATATATATTAGTCTTCTTTTAGTTTCCTAGTATATCCTTAGTAATAACCCTAAGAATATAATCTTTATATAAATAAATTCTTTTTTTCTTTAGTAAGAATAAGAGAATTATTCTTAATATTAATAAAATACCTATATCTAAAGCTAATCTTCTCTCTATATAATTGGCCTCTATACTCGAGTTAACTAATACTTTAATTCTTTGCCTACTTTTCCTTATTTTAATAATAACTTTAATTATTATTCTTGTTTTAGGGGCCTTGCTTTCTATAATATAAATGAGTATAACTACTATAGAATATATTCGTTTCCCGGCTTTCTTTAGTTCTAGGTACTTATATAATTTATAACTAGACTTATTATAGTTATAGTAAATCGGTTTTCTCTAATTTAAGTAAGTAATAGTATAATAATTCTCTTTCTAGTAAGTAAAGCAAATTATATCTAGTCTTATAAATCCCGATATAAGTATTATATTAGACCCTATTACTATATTTTTACTATTTCAGTTTTATAAACCTTATAATAGAAATATACTTTTCTTTTATTTCCTTTTATTATTTTCTTTTTCTTTTCTTCTATTTCCTTTCTTTTACTATCCTATTAGCTTATTATTATATTTCTATTAAGTAAATAAATTTAAATTATTCTTAATTCTTATAATTATAGAAATAAGCTTCTTTTTTTCTTATAAAGTATTTTCTTAATAATTAATCTTATTTCAAATCTCTTGCCTTAAGCTACTAAATAAATTATTTCGCTCTTATAGCAAACTTATATATCCTAAGTTATTTAATAAGCTATCTAAATAAAATATAAAGCTTTAGATACTTTAGCCTAGCTATTATTTAGTATCTTTAAACTTAGTAAAAATATTATTATTATAATTCTCCGGATCTAAAATAAAATCCTTTATAAACTTAATAAAGGTCTCCTAATTTATAGTATTAATATTTACTAATTACTTTCTATACTTCCAGATATTCCTGGCTATATTCTTAAAATAAGAAGTATAATATATAATCTTTATTATATTAGTAGCCTAGATAATCTCGCCGTTTTTATATTACTTTAACTTTGCCTAATAAAAGAAGTCCTAGGCTTTTTTAATACTTTTTCTCTAGTAAATAAGTAGTTCTCGGGTTTTTAGAGCCCTCTAAACTAAAAATATTACCGGAAGTATAATGAGTTCTATACCGGGTATCTAAATATCTTTAAGATAATAAATCTAAGCTTCTAGCTTTTCTAGATCTTTTTTCTATTATATTTCTGCTTCTAACTTAGTAATATAATAGTAAGCCGCCGCTAATTTCTTTATTATTATTATCTTACTAGCTAGTTCTAGGAATATCTGAGTTCTATTTCCTTTTCCTAATTAGGTAATATAAAAAGTACTTAACTAGGTACTTTCCTAGATACCTAGTTAGATTACCCTAGTAATAATAGAGGCGCTTTTTCTAATTAATACTCTAGCTATTAATAATTTTATTTATTAATAGCTTAATTATCTTATAATAAACTACTTTCCGAAAATTAGATTAATTAGAATATAAGATATATAATAGTAGAATAATATATAAATAGTTAAGGTAAGTAAGCTATAAAGTAATACTTATAAGTATAACTAATTCCAAGAATTAATTCTAATAAAAGACTAATTAATACCCCTTTCTAAAGCTAGAAGTATTTCCCTATATATTCTCTAGTACTTAGCCAAGTCTATAAAGCACTTTATTTAACTAGGAAATATAATTCTATATAATTCATATAATTCCGATTACCTATATAATTCTAATTATAAGCTTTATTTAAAATAGGAAACTAGATCTATAATATCTAATACCTATCTATATACTATTATATATATTTATTATACCGAGCTTAATTTAAAACCAGAGCTTAATTTAAACTATAGCTTAAAACCTTAGCTTAAAATCTTTAGCTAAAATTAACTTTTAATATATACAATACTAGCTATTATATTATCTTAATTATTAAGCCTTATTATTACTTAATTAAGTAATATAATAATACTAAACTCGGGCTATTTTAAAGCCTTATTTAATTAGACTAATATATTATATATAATATTATATATATATTATTTAATTACTTTAGAATATTCTAAAGTAATTAAATAAAGTATTAAGTAAAATATAAATAAGGCTTATTATTTAACTTTACTTTATTTATTTCTTATATTAGAACTAGTTATAATTATATAAATAATATTAAGTATATTCTGAAATTTATATATATTATAAAGTTTAATAAATTATTATTTAAATAAAACTAAGCAAACCAAGCTGAGCTATATTATAATTCTCTAATAATCTTTCTATAATTAAAAAAAGTCAGTATTTATATTAAATATTAAATTTATATAATAGAATTCTCTTATTAAAAGTATTAAATTCTCGTATTTTTTTAAATAAAAAAAAGAAAATAGCTTAGTAATTTTAATTATTTTATATTTAATAATATTATATTCCTAATTTAACTTCAAATTATCTTATTATTATTAGACAAAAAAGAAATAATAAAATAAATTTCTTTTTTTATAAATATTTAATTTTATAATTCTCTATTTTTTATCTAGCTTATATATTATTTATTATTATAATATATTACTTAGAAACGTGAGTTTAGTTTTTAATTCTTTTATAGTTTATTAAATAAGATATATTATTAATTCTAAGATTTAGTAACTTAATTCTAAGATTTAATAGCTTAATTATAAGATTTAATAATTTGATTCTAATTAGAATTTGCTTCTGAATTTTTAGAATTTGAATTCTCAGAATTTAAATTATCGGAATTTAAATTAGCTTCAGAATTTGAATTATTATTATTAGAATTAGTTTCGAAATTCGGATTTTCTTAATTAGAATTCTAATTATTATTAATTATAATTGGGTTCTTATTAGATTTTAGTTCTAAATATAATAATAAAGTTAATATAAGGCATATAATAGCAGAATACTATACAAGTAGTTAAAGTAAGGAGTGAAATTCAAGGTAAAATATGGAGTGAAGCGTGGAAGTATAATTAATTTAAAGAACTAGTTCCTATTAAGAAAACTAATTAATACTTATTTCCAAAGCTCCGCATGCCTCTATATATATTATCTAGTATTCTGCTAGATATACGAAAATACTAGCCCTAATTAGGGAATGTAATCCCATTTAAATACTAGCTTAATTAGGTTATTAAATTTATCTAAATATTTGCTTGTATTTTGGATATATATATATATTATAATTAAATAAATCATAATTATAATACAAACTTTATATTTATAAGCTAGATAGCTTTTTATATTTGCTTTATCTAATTATATTATATATTAAGCTTTTTAATACTAAACTAGTTATTTAGTATAATTATTTTTTAAATAATAATATTATATATATTTAAATAAAATATTTAATAAGTTTTCTCGAATTCTTGAAATATTAATATTTCTTTTATTATAGTTTCTTAATTATATTCTTTTTTATTAAAACTAATAAATTTTATTTTAAAACTAATAAATCTTATTTTAAAAATATTATATTTTTAATATATTTTATAATTATAGCTTCTTTTATTTATAATTTTCTCCGATTTCCAAATTATAACTAGATTTTCTAAAATTTCTTTATTATTTAAGAATTTTTAAAATTAAATTAAATTAAATTTTAATTTAGCTAATAATTTTAAAATAGGCTTTTTTGGCTTTAATTTAGTAATTACTTATAATATATTCTTTTATTACTAGAAATTGGCTTTTTATTAATATAAGTTTATTAAATTTCTATATATTTTATAATATTTCCTAAAATTTACTAAAAGTAATATATTTAATTTTTTTATATTAAAGAAATTTACTAAATCTTTCTTAAAATTAATAAAGTTATTTATATATAATTAAATTTTTTTATTTCTTATTCTTTAAACCCGTAAATAAAGCTAGAGAAAAAGCTCTTTACTTTTTATGTTTTAAATTATTATTATTATTCTAATTTAAGCCGGATTTAAATTTAGAAATAAAATTATTATTTATAAAATAGATTTACTATTTTTAGCTATAATATTTTTAAAATTCTCGAATTCTATTATTACTTTTTAATAATATTATAAATCTATTAAAAATAGTAAATTTTTTTTTAAACTTTATAAAAATTTCTATTATATTTATAATAAGTTATTTAATATAGTTCTTAATCTCGAAAACTTTAAGAAAATAAAAGAAATAAATTTTCTTTTAAATTATCCGTTCCGCTGCCGCCAGGGACGAATTAGTCCGTGTATACTGGTTTTCGCTTAATTCTGGCCAATCAGAAGGCTGGATTTCCCCCTCAATTGCTTCAATTCTACCTCTCTCTATGAAATATATCCAAACAACTACGATTTTTATATAGGTGGACATCGCATTGCTTGCACCTATAGAAGCTATCTCTCCTATAGCTCTCTCGCCCCTGATTGGCCGCAATCTGAGCTAGTACAATTCGTTTTTGTGGCCGGTCTCCATATCTCAGTCCCTTATAGTATATACATTTCCCAATTTTACTAAGCTTTACTAGCTCATGCGATTCCACAGGCACCTGTTTAGCTCCCTGGCTAATCTGTGATATTCTTCTCTTTGGACAGATCTCACTGTCTCTCCCTTTAGCTAGTAAAGCACTGACTAGCTATCTCCTGAAATCCTGCTGGCTTCTGAAGCTGATTTCCCTAGGTTCAGGGACATCGCTATATAAAGCTAGTAAATAGCAATTAATTAGAACCATACGAAGTAGCTAGTGCTCTAGTGCTTGGTGCCCTCCCCGCTCTACATGCCGTAAACTAGCGTTCTGGGCAGTCAGGTAATCAAACTCGTTAACTGCTCCCATATAATAGTTATATCTATCCGCAATTGCAGGAATCGAGAGTGTCTTTATAGCCTGATTACCAAAGGGTATTCGTACAGTCTTTGCTTTAGAAGAAGTCTCCTTAGGCCTCTTCCTCCGCCGTAAAACACGCTCGTTACCTGATATATAGGAAGACATTATTAAAACAAAAGCTTGATTTTTCTACCCCATATAATACACTTCTCTATTAGGTATATACCTGGAATACATTTCACCCCAAGGTATTATATCCTTTTTATCCGATTTCTGAAGGTCAAGAAGCTCCTTAATAACCCCCCCAGTTATCCTGCAAGTCCCAGTAATTGCAACTCCCTGGGTACGAGCGTATTAGACGAAGCGAGTAGAAACAAAGAGATTATCAAGGTAAACGTGATATCCAGAACCTTTAGGAGGTTTAGGTAACCTTTTAATCAAGTATAGGACTACTGCTTATATCTTATTTCTACTATTTCTAGCCTTAATTGTCCTACCAAGCTCCCTGGGAGTACGTACTCCTATAGGGCCATTTCTTTGGCCAGGAATATGCCAGTTCCATACGAGTAAGAACCCCCTCTGGGCTGCCTCCCATACCTTATATCTAGTAGGTATAGGCTTATTTGGAATAGTAGTTATTTCCTTCGATTGACCTTCAAATCATACGATTATCTCGTCTACTGCCAAGTCCCTCCCAGGCTTCCAAATACTTAAATTAATCTCCTGGATATGCGTACTAAAGGCTTCCACCTATTCGGTAGTTTATTAGCTAGTTTCAGGTAAAATGAATAGAGATCTAGGGACTACCTTCGCATATGGGCCTTATTCCTGATTTCTATGGAATCGCATACACATATAGAGCTCCTGAAACCGATTCCTACTCAGAAACTTTGTAATTAGGTGCTCAGGAGTCATATCCTTCATATTCTAATAGTCTGCAATCTTATTCTCTATATGCAAGCTCATATATATCCGAATCGCAAAGTAGATATATATCTCTCTACGGCATGTTGGATACTAATTATTTGCTCGTATATAAGGGGTAGAATCGTCTTGAGGTTTTCGCAGATAGATATTCGTCTTCTCGACTATTAGATTAATGATTTCGGGAGTATAGTATATAGTAAATAAAGTAATAGGATTATCTGGAGAGACGTCTTTAGGTAAGGTAATTTCCCAGCCGAATAGGGGTAATTACATAGGCTTAAAAGCACTTCCCTGCTTGCGTAGTGGATCCTCATTAGGCCGAAGGGTCCCTTTATTAGTGGAATCAAATACAGTAGCGTCCGGTATCGTGGTTATAGTGTAATTAATCAATTTGGTGGTTTATTTATATATAAATATCAAAGCGTGGTTTTGGTGTTCCTCCGGAATAATAGTTATTCCGGCCCCGGAAATTCGTCCCTGGCGGCAGCGGAAGGATAAGATATTTATTAGTAAATAATAAAATAATAAAATAAATTAATAAATTATAAAATTATAATATTAAATTTAGTATAGAACTAATCTCTATTTCTCTTATAAGGTCTAGGAAAGCCTTTTCTAAATAAGAGACCCCGATAATATATATATAATTAGTAATTTATAAGCCTAATATTTATAAGATAAATACTAATTAGTTATAATAATAAAAAGCTATTAATTTCCCTAATTAAAACTTATAATATCCGAGATTTATTATATATTCTTTAATTATATATAATCCTATATATATTATAACTATATTTTTTTTTAGAATCTTATTTCTAAGATTTATTAATTTATTCTAGTAAAATATTTAATTAATTATATATTTAATTAAAATAAACTTCTAATATTTTAGGAAATAGTTTTACTAATATAATCTAAGTAATAAATATAAAAATCATCTAATTAGATTAGGACTAAATAAGCGAGAAAAAATAGTAATTATATTCCAGATATAAGAACTAGTTAATAATTATAATTTCATTTAGGAACTAAGTATTCTAATTAGCTTAATCTAAAATACTAAAGTATTATTTTATAAAATTAATATTATTTATTAGATCTTATATTAGAATAATCTAAATAGCTTTATAGAAAGAATTTAATAAAATATTTATATAAGAAACCCATATAAATATTTCTAAAGTTCTAAAAATTATTTATAGGCTCCTGGAAATATATATTAATTAGTTATACTAATTTCTAATTAGAACTAGTATAAAAACTAATAGTTAATTCAAGTAGTTCTCTATTTTAATAAAAGAACTTCTTTATATTATTATATATTCTCTTTTTTTCTAATAATTATATATATAATAACTTCTTTTATTATTATTTTTTGGTTTCTTTTTTTATTCTTTTTTAAGTCTTTTTTAATTATTTTTAATTAATTCTATAATATTTTCTGGCTTTATTATTTACTAATATAATTACAAATATAAAAATAACTTTATAGCCTTCTTTCCTATTATTAGTAAATACTTGAAATATTTTAAGTATTTGCTTATTAATTCCTTTATTTTATATACTATAATACTTAATAAAAAGAACTATAATTATAATAATAAGAATTTTAAATCTTGTATTTTAGTAAATTCCTTAGCTTTAATATTTATTAAAGCTAATATAATTTTAGATTTCTTACTATTTATTAGAGGCTTACTAGTTCTAGGAAAATATTATTATAACTTTTAAGAAATTCCTTAAAAAATATCCTAAATAATATTATATTATTAAGAATAAATCTATTAATTAAGTTTTTAAAGACTAAAAGTAATTTATTAAGTTTCGGAATTTTATTTCCTATTTTAATAAAGCTAATAAAAATACTATTTAGGTTAGTATTTCAAAAATAAGTTTTTTCTAATATATTTAGATATTTCCTAATTTCCCCAAAAAATATTATAAAGTTTATTTTTAAAGTATTAAGCTTATTATTAAGATTATTATTGAAATTTCTATATAGTTTATTACTAGTATTTTAAATACTAATAATATAATACTTATAGCTATTATAAATTTCTTATTTAATCTTTTTAATATCTTTAATACTAATATTATTATAGTATAATTATATCTTATTAAAGAATAAGCGAATTCCGGAAAGTATTATCTAATTTTTTACTAAATTTTAAATAGAATTAGTATTTAGTATTTTTATTTTAGAAATTAGAAATTATTTATTTGAAATATTTATAGCTAGTTTACTTATAATAAATCTTTTTTAATCCTAAATCTTTTTCTAATAATTTAAATATAATTCTTATAAGCTTTAATAAAACTTTAGAAAACCTTTATAAATAAAAAATCCTAGGAAAAGAATATTTCTATTATTATTCCGGGTCTTTTCTTAGCTATTTAGATTTTTTCTTTTTTTTAAATAGCCTTTTTTTTTAGTAATTTAGAATTCTTTTTAATTTTAAAAAATTATTAAAAAATAATTTTAAATTTCAAGCTATAATTTCGGTTAAATAATTTTAAAAGTTTCTTAGAATTTTTAAAATTAGAAAAAGCAAATAACTAAATATTATAATTTTTAGGCCAGGCTTTCTATTTAATTAAATATTATAATTTTTTATTTCTATTATTTTATTAGTAATTAATAATAGCTTCTATTTTTATTTTTTATTTTTTATTATTATTTACTAATTCTGGAAGTTTTTTAAAAAGATATAAATATAACTTCTAATTCTTTTTTATTATATATTCTTTAAAAAAAAGAAATATAGAAAATTAGATATAAATAATTATATATATTTAGTAGTTCTAACTTATATATTAAATTACTAATATATTTAAGAACTTTAAATAAATCTATAAATTTTGGCTTAAGTTTTCTTATTTTAAATTTAATATTTCTTATTAATAATATTATCTAGGTTTCTTTAAAATAATATTTAATTAACTAGTATTTATTATAATAAGTTTTCCGGTTATTTTATATATAATATTATAAATCTTTAAGCTTTTTCTATTTTATTTTAAGGATTTTTAGCCTTTTATATATAATTAATATTTCTTTTATAATTCTATTTTTAGGATTTTATAAAAGTTAAAAGTAATATTTATAATATATATAAAAAGATATATTTTATAAAATCTAATATTTTAAATTATTATATATAAATTTTATAAAAAATAATTTCTTAAACTAGTTATTTTTTTTTAAATATTATAATAATATTTTAGGGCCTAGTTTTGCCTTTTTATTTAATTATTTATTTAAAAATAATAGGCTATATTTAAATACTATTTATATATTAAATAGAAATAGAAAATAGACTAGAATTAGCTAATAAATACTATTTCTCGGTCGGAAATAATTCTATTAGAAAAGCTAAAAATCGAGAAAATATATTTCTATATAATTTTAATAAACTCTAAAAAGTTAATTATTTTATAATATATAATATATTTTACTATTTTAGAATACTAATTAATAATTATAAGAATTATATTAAAATTAGAACTTTTTATTAGGTTTTTATATAGTATAATAAAGATTTTATTTCCTAGTTATATAATTCTATTATATAACCTCCGGATATCTATATAGTTTATAGTCTACTTATATTATTCTTCTTTCCTTCTTAGTTCTTAGAAAGAAACTAACCTTTACTCTCTAATTTCACGTCTCACTCATATATTATAATCCCATATTATAAAAGCCTATTCTATTTTATATATTACTACTTGTTTTATATTTCTATTATAATAATAATAAACCTATAATAAAATCTATAGAAATCTTATTTCAGAGTCTTTTAGGCTATAATAAATTATTAAATAAATTATATAGTAAATATCTTTTAGCCTTAATTTTCTAGTAAATATTATATTTTTAATAATATTTATAAATATTTTCTTTTATATTTTTCTAATACTAGAATCTTTTAAAAAGCTTAAAAGTTTTCTTTATTCTATAATATTTAACTATTAGATTATTATAATAAAGATTTATAATTTCTTAATATAAAGCAGAATTATTAGATATAATAATTCTTAAATAATACCTAAATAGACTTGAAATATTTCTCTAGATTTCTTTTCTTTTAATATCTCTTTTAATAAGCCTTTATTTTAAAATATTCTAATATCGAGAATTATTTCTCTAAATTATCTAGATAATATCTAGAAGAGATTTAGATAAAGAAACTAGTATTATGGCTCTTTTAATAGCTATATATATTTATATATAAGGAATTAAATATTTGTAATTATTT